TTTCCTCACACAGATCATTACAAAGGTTTTTTCCATTGGTACATGTCAAAGTGTTTTTTTCGGTCCAACGTGGAGGCTGACTCGACAGACCAGGCACTAGGAGCAGGTCCAACATGAGGGCTGAGGTCGACACCGCAAACAGGTTCAACATTCAATCCTGTCAATTAACTTGGACCAGACTGTTTGAATTCCAAAAATAAAATTGGACCACAAAGGGTTAAAAAGCATGACACTATCTATCTTAAGTCTCCAAAGTGATACCTATATTAGAAGTTTGTTCTTTGTCTGAATCTGTTCAAAATTCCCAGTCTACCAAACAATTGGTCAACCAGTTGCTATGATGTGCACTGACCACCAGCAGGGAGACACTCAATACAGGAGCTGCCCCCTGGTGGTCAGTGTGCTCCCACGGCCAACCTCCCGCAGCCAGCTAACTTCCCACAGTCCCTCTCCCCAACCAGCTGGCCCCGATCACCGATAGGCCCTGATCACCAGATGGGCCAAGGGACCCCACCCATGCACAAATCCATGCACTGGGCCTCTAATATAAATATAAAGCAACATTTAAAAAAAATTATTTCAGAGAGGCAGGGAGAGGGAGGGAGGGAGGGAGGGGAAACATCAGTGATGAGAGTCATTGATCAGCTGCCTCCTGTATGCCCCACACTGGAGTTGAGCCCAAAACCCTGGCATGTGCCCTGATTGGGAATTGAACCATGACCTCCTGGTTCATAGATCAAAACTCAACCACTGAGCCACACCGGCTGGGCTAAAGCAGCATTATTATAAAATTACTAATTATTTGAAAGCTTAACATGTGTCATTCATGGAACTAACACATTTAAACTTAATACAACAATTATAGTAGAGAAATAGGGGAGGATCTTTACTGCACAATATTGGCTCCTTTCATTATTTGTTATATGTTATTATTTAAATTCCCAGACACTTTACATTATTCATCTATTTACTTAGGTCAAATGACTCTCAAGCTCAATGCTTGAAATTAAACCAGAAATCTAAAAGAATTATTTTTTATAGAATCCTGCCCAGAAAATGGCCTTCAGTAGTTCCATACTTTTTAATAATTAAACCTAGACAGCAAAACTATATTCATAACAACACTCAATTGCTTAAGAACTTAAGAGTTGTTCCCTAATCCCTAAGATATCAAATGCAATCTTTTCTTTTTCAAGGCAATTGTATCTCTGGCTCTGAGAATTATTATTTTTTTGTTGTTGAACTTTTCCCCTTCCCTTTAATGCCAATGAATTGATTCTATCCCAATCCCATCACTATCTGTATACCAACTCCTAACAACTTCATGATAAACACACTGATCCAAACGGTGTCAGGGAGTATCATGGCTTTTAATCATAATGTTCTCCTAGGGACACATAAGCCAGAAGGCCCTTTCAAGAGAAATCAAAATTATTGATAATTGTCTAGCACTTAGGTAACTCAAAAATAAGCATTCTTACAGGTATGCAAAATGTTGCCATTTTTGTGTAATGAGTTTCATGCTTAACTGCACAAGACAGACACCTAATAAAATATTACATGGAATAAACAGCCTTTGAGCAGTGCCAACATTATATGACCGTTTTAAGGGGATAACCAAAAAGGAGATGAGAGGAGGTAGCCAAAGGCAGAAAGAGGAAAAAATCAGGACTGTGTGGTGCTCCATTATTCCAGGAAACAGAGCATTTCATAACAAAATAACCAACTGAGTCAAATAAAAGTCTGTAAAGTGCTTGTGAAAGATGCTAAGTCCAGTTTGTACATGATGAATGTAATGCCAAATAGGCACGTGGAACCACCTAGTAAGTGACTGAAGGAGGGGTGCTGAGCCCAGTATCCTTCTCACTGGCAAGAAGGGAATGTGTCCAGCTTCCAACATTCCCAGGAA